ATACCCATCCCAGTCTGAATACTTTAAAAAAAAAAACTAATAAAGCTCACTGTTGGGTATTTGGAGTTTTTTTTTTATTAGCTGCCCCCTCCCTATCCTTCAAACTTCTTTTCCCACAATATTTAATAGTGTTCTCTTTTCTCTTTTTAAAAATTTTTACTTTTTTATTCTGAATTCAAGAAATAAGCATTTCCAAAATATACAACAAAGTTATCATGTAACTTTTTTTCCTTATTTTTCTTCCCTCTTCCCTTTGCCTTACAGATGGCTAACATTAGATACAAACATGTATATGTGTATGTATATATATATATATATATATATACATATATACATATACATATATGTACAATCATTCTATATATCTATTTATCAGATCTTTCTCTGCGTGCAGATAGCATCTTCCTTCATAGGTCTTTTGTAGTTAATTTAGGTATTCATAATAGTCAAAATGACTTAGTCACTCAAAGTTGTTAAAACAATATTGCTGTTACTGTATACAATGTTCTCTTGGTTCTGCTCATTTTGCTCTCCATTATTTCATGCAAGTCTATCCATGTTCTTCTAAGATCATCAAGCTCCAGGGGTGCAATCAGTTAGCAAGCAGTACTCACAGAATTCAGCACACTCTATAGACTTGCCATACTAGCCTCCTTGGTGTTCCTCCCAGGTGGTTCTCCATCCCCTCTATCTGTGGGATTGCCTTCTACAGTCAAGTCAAAAAGTCACAAGTCAAGTCACAAAAAGACAGAGTGAAACAAATTTTCAGTTCAAGACAACCTGAATGGTTGATCGAAAAGGTCTATTGCTAAGGGCTGGGAGAGGAGCACAGTCTAGCGTGGGCCATGCCAGGCCTCAGTGAACCTGGAACAGTCCTCAGGGAATTGAATCAAAGGGAGCTGTGGCAGTTTCCAGACTTCTCAACCCACAAACACCAAAGACAACTTAGAAGGTCAATAGGAAAGGTGTGTCTGACCTCAGTGAGAGAGGAGCTTGATCTGGCCCCAGGCCCGGCACAACCCTGGTGCTGTGGCAGCTTCTGGAGCTCTCGACCCACAGACAGAGGGGAATCAAGTGGCTGATCAGAGGGGGATTACAGGGATCTCTTTGCTGGTGCTGAGGCAGGATACTCTTGCTTTGTCCATGCTTGGATCTGGGTTGCAGTTCTGGGTGGTGGTCCTGGGGAGAGGAGGAGTGCTGGTATGGTGGAGCTTGTGGTGGCAGTCTAGAGAAGATCCTCCTCACAGTTCCAAGACAGAAAAGAGTGCTTGTGGTCATTCAAGGACCAGGGCCCAGGCCAGGAAAGGAGTAAATACCTTGCTGTTGATCATACCATCTTGGAAGAATTGTAAATGTACAGGTCCCTAGAAGTATCTTTGAAAACAGCTGCACAAAACCCTCAAAACTTGGGATAGTACATTCTCCACACTGGAAGCAGACCCCTACCTTAACAAAGAGTTTAAAATTCAAGTAATTGGCTGGGATCATGAGAAAGCAGTGCAAAAAAAGTGAGACCATAGAATCTCACTTTGGTGACAAGAGTAAAACATACCAACAGAAGAAGACAACAAAGTCAAAGCTACTACATCCAAAGCCTCCAAAAAATATGAATCAGTTCCAGGCCATGGAAGAGCTCAAAAGGATTTTGAGGAAGTAAGAGAAAATAGAGGAAAAATTGGGAAGAGAAATGAGACTGACACAAGAAAATCATGAAAAATGAGTCAACAGCTTGCTAAAGGAGACCCAAAAAATACTGAAGAAAATAACACCTTAAAAAATAGACTAACCCAAATGGCAAAAGAGGTCCAAAAAGCCAATGAGGAGAAGAATGCCTTAAAAAGCAGAATTGGCCAAATGGAAAAGGAGGTCCAAAAGCTCACTGAAGAAAATACTTCCTTAAAAATTAGAATGAAGCAAATGGAAGCTAATGACTTTATAAGAAATCAAGAAATCATAAAACAAAACCGAAAGAATGAAAAAAATAAAAGATAATGTGAAATATCTCACTGGAAATACAACTGACCTGGAAAACAGATCCAGAAGAGATAATTTAAAAATTATTAGACTATCCCCCCCCAAAAAGAGCCTACATATCATCTTTCAAGAAATTATCAAGGAAAACTGCTATGATATTGTAGAACCAGAGGGTAAAATAGAAATTGAAAGAATCCACCGATCACCTTCTGAACGAGATCCTAAAATGAAAACTGCCAGAAATATTATAGCCAAATTTCAGAGTTCCCAGGTCAAGGAAAAGATATTGCAAGCAGTCAGAAAGAAACAGTTCAAGTATGCTGGGGCCTTAATTAGGATAACACAAGATTTAGCAGCTTCTGCATTAAAGGGTCTGAGGGCTTGGAATGGGGCTTGGAATTCTGGAGGCCAAAGGAGCTAGGGTTACAACCAAGAATCACTTACCCAGCAAAACTGAGTATAATTAAGGATGGGAAAAATGGATATGCAATGAGATAAGGAGTTTCAAGCATTCTTGAGAAAAAACCAGAACTAAATAAAACAGTTGACTTTCAAATACAAGACTTAAGAGAAGCATGAAAAGGTAAACAGGAAAGAAAAACCATAAGGGAATTATTAAAGTTAAACTGCTTGTATTCTTACATGGAAAGATGATATTTGTAATTCATAAGACCTTTCTCATTATTAGGGTAGTTAGAAGGAGTGTACGTAGACAGAGGGCACAGATGTGAATTGAATATGAAGGGATAATACCTAAAAATAAAATTAAGGGATAAGCAAGGAATGTACTTGGAGAAAGAGAAAGGGAGAGGTAGAATGGGGTAAGTTATCTTGTAAAAGAGGCAAGAAAAAGCTTTCACAGTGGAGGGGAAGAGGGGAGAAGGTGAGAGGGAGGGAGTGAACCTCACTCTCATCAGAACTGACTCAAAGAGGTAATAACATACACACTCAATTGAGTATAGAAATCTATCTTACCCTACAGGAAAGTTAGGGGGAACAGGGTAAAAGAAGTGGGGGGAGTGATAGAACTTATGACAGACTGGGGGAGGGGGTAGTCAGAAACAAAATACTTTTGAGGTGGGGCAGAGTGAAAGGAGAGAGAGAATGCAATAAACAGGAGGGTGAATAGGATGGAGGGAAATACAGTTAGTTTTTCACAACATGACTTTTACGGAAGTGTTTTGCATGACTGCACATGTATAACCCATATCAAATTGCTTGCCTTCTCAATGAGAAGGGGTGGGGAAGGAGGAAGGGAGAGAATTTGGAACTTGAAGTTTTAAAAATGAATGTTAAAATTGTTTTTACATGTAACTGGGGAAAAATAAAATACTAAATAAAAAAAAGAAAAAATGCTTAGAGGAGAACAGAATGAAATTCAGAAAAAAATGAAGACAAAATAGTTTTGGAAATAGCATGTGAATTTATTATATACACTTTTTAAAAAGGCAATCAATACAGCAAAGAGATTCAGTTACATATACAATCTTCTTTATGTTTCCTATTTCATATGTAGAAATTCTCTTTTTTTGGCATGACTTGCAATCAAAATAAAAATTAAATATAAAAAAGGAGATAGTGAGATGAAAGAATTGGGGGCAGCTAGGTGGCGCAGTGGATAGAGCACCAGCCGGGGAGTTAGAAGGACCTGAGTTCAAATACAGCCTCAGACACTTGACACTTACTAGCTGTGTGACCTTGAGCAAGTCACTTAACCCCATTGCCTACAAAAAAGAAAAAGAAAAAAAAGAGACGAAAGAATTACAAATGATTAGCCAAGACTACATGGGGGGGGGGCATTATGGCTGCTTGAAACACGTATACTGTTGCCATGGGGGAAAGGGATTAAACTTATTCTGTTTGACCTACCAGAAATAATCAGAAGTAATGAGTAGATATTGTAGAGGTGCAAGATTTTTGTTTGTTTTTAAAATTTGTGTTGATGTCATTTGCTTATTACATGATCTTTATTTCTGAATACATTCTTCCTCCTCATAAAAAAACAAAGTATATGCTAACTCTAATTGTTTGACTTTCATTCATTCACTGAGGCAGTAAATAGCACAGTGCATAAAGTGTTGAACCTGAAGTCATTAAGACCTGAATTCAAATAGAGTCTCAGACACATCAGCTTGTTGTTTTTTTTGGTTTTTTTTTTTACCCTGGGCAAGTCATTTAGCTTCTGTCTGCCTCAGTTTCCCTATTTATAAAATCTATAAAATGAGGGTGATAATAACAGCACATTCCAGAGCCATTGTGAAGATAAAAAAGTGATAATTGAGATATTTTACAGTCCTTAAAGTGCTATATAAATGTTAGATTTTTATTATCCTCTTCCTTATTACTCATTATTATTTGATCTTTCCTGTTATCTTTACATGTGACATTATTCTGAGCATCTAAATGTCATAAGAAATTTCTGTTTTTAACTGTAGATCCCTGAGTTTATTTTTACTTTCTCTGTCTTAGTACCTTTCCTAAATCCCGGATTTTAAAGCATTCAGTTAGTCAGTCAATCAACTAGCATTTATTAAGCATCTACTATGTTCCAGGAGCTATGTGCTGAGGATACAAAAAAGGAAAAACCCAAAAACAAACAAAAAAGTAAACCCCCAAACCCAGCAGTTTCTGTTTAAAAAAGAGCTCACGGTGTAATGTGGAGAATGTGATGGCAAGAGGAGACAACATTGAAACAAATTAGTGCTGTTGTTGTTCAATCGTGTCTGACTTTTTGTGACTCCATTGGGGTTTTCTTGGTGAAGATACTAGAGTGGTTTGCCATTTCCTTGAAGTCCCTTCTGACTGAAACATTCTATGATTCTATAAAATATAAAAATAGTATCATTACCAAAAGAAAAATTGTGATAAGATTTGGCCCCAGTTTATTAGCAAAATTAATATTTGTGTACAAAATGGAAATCAAAATCCCTGGGCCTTGGTTACTTCATTTGTGAAATAAGGTCCCTTCCAACTTTAAATCCATGTTCTTAGGATCATTGGTGACATTTCCTTGGTGTAGTATTGTGGAGAATTGCTTCAACCCCTTAAATGCAATCAGTAGCAGGGTTTTGAAGAGTATCTTCTCTCACTGGCCTGTTGTTAGCATACTTGTGCAATTTACTATATTCTGTATCACTAGGCTTAATCACTAGTGAAATCTCATTCCATTCCTCAGTTCTTGGAATTCTCACACTGTCATGGCAGACATTTTCAAAGAAGCACTTGACATTTCTTTCCGCCAATTCAGTAGCATACTTCTTCGATTCAGCAGTTAATGTCTCATTTTCTTTTTTCATGTAGATTTTCTGGAACTGGAGCTGAAGAAAACCAACTCGAGATGTGCAACAGCAACAGAACTTGATCATCGTGAATAAAACCATGACACCAGCTATCAGTCCCCAACCTATTATCTTTGGAAAAGAGACCAACATGACACAGCTGGGTTACAATTTAGCTATAGCAAGGAAGATGATGACAAGATGATGATACTGACAGTAACAAAGTAAGAAAGAAAAGAAATCCCTCCCCCAAAAATAGATATTACTCTTTCACTCTTCATGAGGCTGGAGAAACCACAACCTGAAAAGTGGAAAGGGCTAAATCCAGATTGGGATCAGTAATGTTATCATTCACAGGTAATAACTGCTTACTTGGAAAGTCAGTCATGTTCCCAGGAATGGAAGGACCCCAGGGAAAGGACCTAAACCATATAATCCAATGGAAATTCAAAACCTAAGCAGTTGTGGGACTCAGTATAATCCAGGCAAAGGTAGACTAGAACATTAGACTTGTTAATTCTAGTCTTTCATTTGATTTAATATCATTTTGCATGTTGGAAGGATTCTAAGGATGGGATTCTAAGGATAAGCTCTAACTAGTCATGTCAATTCTTTCTTTTAGGGAAACTTGGGGCTTAACCTCATTCATTCAATCAGCAAATGCTCCATTAGGGCAAGGTCTGTCTTTGTGTCATCATTGACAAATCTTGGAACATAGCGGGTGTTTCATAAATGCTTGTTGATTACTTTACTAAATATCTGTCGTATGCTAAACTTGTTGGAAAATACTGAATTTAGCAGAGTCATGGTCCCTGTCCAGGGTGAGACGCAAACACAAATAATCATGTAACCAGGCTTCCACTGAAGCCTGAGAGTGGGGCTCCCCCTGACCTGGCCTTTTTAATACACAAGATTACATTAAGATAAGAACATTAGGGAGGTGCAAAACAAAGTCTGAGGTACCAAGATCCATTCTTTTCCGTGTCAGACTTCCTTGAGGAGGTAGCTTTTAAGTTGATTTTGAAAGAATAGGTGGCAATCCGACAGATTAAAGAAGGGTAGGAAAGGCATTGTAAGAACAGGTGATTTAGAACGGTTCCATCAATCAGTCAACTAGCAAACATTTTTTGAAGCTCCTAAAATGTGCCAAGTATGGTGCTGGGTACACAAAGACAACAATGAAATCATCTCTGACTTCTAGAAACTTACTTTCTACTGAAATTGAGGGGGAGGAGGAACAATGTCTACACATTCTGTTGAATACAGTCTACCTAGAAAGAAGTTACAAAATAATGTATGCAGAAAAAGGGAAGGCATTAATTAGCCTCTGAAAATCACAAGTTTCTAGTTCCCAACTTGGACCTTCTGTAGCCTCCACTGTGTTCCTCTGTCCAGTCGAGTTATATCCTCTCCTATCTCTCCAACCATTTCCTTTTCTCTTTCCCTATCCCCACCCCATCTGATAGGAATCACTTTACTTTCTCCTGAGATCTTACCTGGGATATAGCCCTGACCTTCTGCTCGAAGTTTGTCAAGCTTGTCTGCTGGCAAGGCATCTGCAGCTCTTTCTCAAAACAGTTGTGTTCCTGACACAAGCTCCTTTGCTGCTGCTCATTTGCACTGAACAGACACACAGAGTAATTACCCTCGAGCAGTGCCATTGTAATCCAGATGAAGGGTGCCAGGAGAGCAGTCAAGGTCACTTGACCACATACCACCTCCTTACAGAACATCACTCTCTTGCTAGGCGTTTCTGGGCTAGCCTTGCAGGATTTCTTGTCAAGAGTGTATATCTTCTCAACAGTGTCTCTCTGGTCCTTGGTACAGCAGCCAGTTACCACCCGCCCTACCTTAAAGCTCAGCAGGTAGCGCAGAAGGAAGAGGACCAGGGCTGGAGCGAAGAAGAATAAAAGGGAATAGGGCATTTTGTATCTATCGTCACAGGGGCATTGGAACACTATCTTGGAGAAGAGGGTCTGCCCACCAGCTGTCAGCAGACTCCAGAAGCTCATGGTCACGGCCTTGTGGTGTTTGATGAGCACGTCCAACAAAAGATGAAACTTTTCCATGGCTTTTCTCCTCCTCACTCCTGGCCTGGTCAAGCAGATCTCCCGTTGCCTCTACCTTGTTTCCTCAGTGTATCTGAATTTTATTACTAGGGAAAGGAAATGAAATGCTACTGCTTTATAAAAGCAGTTTCCTCTTACAGATGCCTTAAAGTTTTGCTTTCTTTTTTGGTAGCATTCACCTCAACAGTTGTAAAAATGTAACCCTAGTTGGGGGTGGGGGTGAAGACTAGGCAGTGTTGAGAAATCTCAATACTTACACAATGGCTACACAGTGAGCTGTAGCCCTGACAATGAGGGGTAACAGCAACAATGTGATAAGTTTGATTCATAGCGGTCTTTATGACCAGAAACAAGTCTGGGATTTTGCTGTGGCTGAGATAAGCCAGAGGGTAAGTGCAAAGAACTGTTATTATGCCAAGCTCAGGGCACAGCTGGTTTGCTAGGCCTTTAGCTCTGGAAAACAGGGTGTTTCCTAACATCTTGACACTGATCTAGAGCCAGATGTCCTGGAGAATGAAGTTAAGTGGGCCTTAGGATGCATTGCTAATAATAAGGCTAGTGAAGGTGATGGATTTCCAGCTGAGTTATTTAAAACCCTAAGAGATGGTGCTTTTAAGGTGCTGCATTCAGTATGCAGCAAATTTGGAAAACATTAACAGTGGCCATTAGTTGGAAAAAATTGGTTTAGGTCTCAATACTAAAGAAGGCAATGCCAAGAGTTATTCAAATTACTGAATAATTGTGCTCATTTTATGAGCCAGCAAGGTTATGCTTAAGATTCAGCAAACTAAGCTTTAGCAGTATGTGAATGGAGAATTACCAGGAGAGCAGGCTGTTTTTTGAAGAGGCAGAAGAACAAGAGACCAAATTGCTGACCTGCACTGGACTTTGGAAAAAGCAAGTGAGTTCCTGAAAAACATCTACTTCTATTTCATTGATTACACTAAAGCCTTTGTGTGAATCACAACAAACTATGGCAAGACTTCAAAGAGATGGGACCAACAGATCATCTTACTTGTCTCCTGAGGAACCTGTATGCCAGCCAAAAAGTAACAGTTAGAACTGAACACAGAACAACTGATTGGTTTAAGATTGGGAAAAAAAGTATAATGAGGCTGTATATTGTCACCTTATTTATTTAACTTATATGTAGAATACATCATGCAAAATGCCAGGCTGGATGAATCAAAAGCTGGAATTAAGGTTGCTGGGAGAAATAGCAACAATCTCAGATATGCAGACAACACTGCTCTGGTGGCAGAAAGTGAAGAGGAAATAAGAAGCCTCTTGCTGAAGGTGAAGAGGAGAGTGAAAAAGCTAGCTTGAACTTAATATTAAAAAAAACCCTAAGATTATGGCAACTAGTCCCATCACTTCCTGGCAAATCAAGGGAGAAGAAATGGAAGTAGTGTTGGATTTTACATTCTTAGGGTCAACTATCATTGTAGATGGTGACTGTGGCCGTGAAACAAAGCTATGGCAAATCTGGACAGCATACTAAAAAGCAGATATCCCCTTGTCAACAAAGGTCCACATGTCCAAAGCTATGATTTTTCCATTAGCAATGTGTGACTGTGAGAGACTATGTGGAAAGCTGAGTGATGAAGAATCAACTGTTTCAATTTTCTGAAAGCGTATGAAATTCGAATTGCTGGAGAAGGCTTTTTAGAGTCCCTTGGACAACAAGGAGATCACATCAGTCAATGCTTAAAGAAATTGATTCAGTCTATTCACTGTAATGTCAAATATTGAAGCAGAACCCTCAAACAAGCAAAGGAGTATGAGACCAGAGGTCATGACAGCCTGAAGTACAAATATTACCAGAAGGGCACAGGGGAGATACAGAGGTTTATTTTATTATATCTGTGGACTAGGTAAATATCTAAGTGCTGGAGGCGCTTGAGTGGTCAATCCACAGTTGGTTTACCTAAAGCTGAAACTAAGGCTGAGAGAGGTAAACTGACTTGCCCACAGTCACACAAGCAAGTAAGTTTCTGAGGCAGGATTTGAACTTGAGTCTTCCTGACTCAGGGTCCAACACTAACACTCTATCTACTGCACCCTTTAGCAGTCTTCAATGGTAGTTGGATCAGACTCAAACATAAGTGTATTCCATCAACAGCCTTTCCCAGGTCCTTCCACATGGACTCATTGGATCTTGGGAAACAGGAATAATGAGGATTTAATTGTATAGCATTCTATTTTCCTGGATAAAGTCTCTCAAGTGACAGCTATATTTTAGTCACCTTGTGAAACACCTGAAAGGCAATTCAACTCCTGTGCAAGAGCTATGGTAGCTATTGTCTGAGTGAGAAAGACCAGCATATTTGGGCTATATCAGTGGGAGCTTAAAGTTCCCTAAAGAGTTGTGGGTATCAGCAAAAAAGTAAACTATGTGTCTCTGGCCCGGAACTGGTGAACATCTCTGGGGTGTCCGCATTGATTGAGGCCAACTGTAGTTTATTCATGTTAACAGAATACTTATCCATCCTGACATGGCATATCTCCTGTGAAGAAATTTACAACGAGATAGAAGCTACTGGTGATAGGAAGCACGAGCATCAAAGGTGTCATCAGACCTCTAAGACCAGACAAGAATGGGTTTGCTAGAGGAATACAAGGCTCATATGAACAAGAAACTCAGAATGAGAACTGGTCTATTCTAACTGAATGAGTGGGCTGTGGAATCATCATAGGAAAAATTCACAGAATCTACTTCCATGCTTCTCAGCTTCTTCAGGAAAGGTATCTCCATAACATTTTACATGATTGTACATGTATTACCTATGTTAGATTGCTTACCCTCTCAGGGAGGGGGGAAAGGAGGGAAGGATAGAATTTGGAACTCAAAACTTTAAAAAATATTTAAAAATTGTTTTAACATGTAATTGGAAAAATAAAACATTATTTGAAAAAAAAGAAAGGTATCCAAAGACTATATTTTCAGAACCAGAAGACCTTGGTACCTTATAATCTTAAGTAGCTTTTCAGGATAGGTTGAGAAGTTACTAGCTTAGTTATTTCCTTGGCCCTTGAATCTGGCTCCATTATGTCCATTTCTCTTTTATCCTAACTCTTTCTTTGTCTTAGGCAGGTTGTGTAGATATGCTCCTGTGTCCCAAATCCTTCTTTGACAAAGAACAGTCAGTGTTCATGTTCTGTCTGCCTTAAAATATATTCTTGACAGTGTGCTAAACTCAGATATTTTTTCTGCCATGTTTATTATAGCAGTCCTCTGCAGGTGGTTAAAAGCATACTTGTTAGGAATATTTTAATCCAGACATAACTATGATTTTTTAGCGGAATAGTGCTCTTTTACCAATTCACTTTATAGTCAGTTGTCATCATTCTATCCATTGGTTTCATTATGGAAGAGAATTTTCAAAGCTTTTGTCTTCTAAGTAGAATAAACACATATCTTTTTCAATAGCCAAGGTCCTGGCCTTATCACCAGAATGTATTTCATCTTAATGTTGATCTGAAACTTGTATGAAACTTCATACTTCAGAGGATTTGAATTACTGAAAATATGGCCCCTGATTTCATCTCAGTTGAAATCATACTTAGAGTCGATGAAATTTGTTTTGAAAGGAACCTGGAAGGTTATACCCAGCATGAATTCTTTCTGGGATATGCTTAAGTTGTTAAAGAGGTAGCTGGGCAGTGCAGTAGGTAGAGCACTTGGCATGAAGTTAGGAAGACCTGAGTTTGAATTTGGCCTCCAAACATTTCCTAGCTACATGACCCTGGGCAAGTCACTACTTCTGTTTTCCTCAACTGTAAAATGAGGATAGCAATAGCACCTACATCCCAGAGCTGATATGAGGATCAAATGAGATAATATTTGTTAAGCACCTAGCTTTTTTTCCAGGGTTTTAATATCTTTATTAAGTCAAACACGTCAGTACTTTGCTCTCTCACTACTGTAACCCTTGAGTATTGTGGAATAAATCCATGACCCTAGCTGACAAGTGCTATACTGGGCATCAGAGTTCCCAAGGAGGCCATGGGATGCTCAGTTGAGGGGTGAGATTGGGAGAAGTGCCAAAGTGAAGGAGGTTATGGTAGCCATGAGGAATGGGCCCTCAGGCAGAAGATGAGGCTGATGCTGAAGAGTGAGTGAGCAGGGGCCATGGCTGGCAGTCTGTGTAGTCTTGGCCAGGGCTCAGTGCAGCTGAAGGAGGTTAAGTGAGTGCCCTGGCTTGAATAAGGATGTTCCAGTTATAGGGTCCATGGAACATTTGAGATGACTGGCTTGTAGTCTTTGTGGACTGGCACATAGCAAGCACTTAATGCTTATTTCCTTCTTTTCTTATTGTTCTGTCTTAACTTGAAACATATAAGAATGGACTATTTTACAAAGCAACCCATTCCATATTTGAATATCTCTAATTGAAAGTCATTAATAAAAATATTAAACAAGGTGAAGCACAGGTTCTTGAGGGCACTCTGCTAGAAACCTCTTTGTGCTACAGATATCAAATGTTTTGTTTATTATAACTCCCATGGCTTTGCTCAGGCTGTTCTTCATTTCTACAACTTTAACCTCTCCCATTCTCTGTTCTCCATCTAGCTAAATGTTTCCCATCCATCCCATACTAATAAATTTAATAATAGTGAAGGTAATGGTAAAGTCTTAGATTTGGTACAAAAAATCAGCTGCACAAAAATAAGTTGAAGGAGTTCTGCTTCTGGGAGCCGAGATAGTGGAGTAAAAAGGTAGTCGCTCTTACCCTCCCGTATGAACCTCTGAAAATCCAGAAAATATCACCCCAGAAAAAAAACCCTGGAAAAGCTGAACTAGAAGAAAGACAGGGAGAAACAGTGCAACAGCCCAGCAAAAATAAGGGAAGCAGCACTACAAAGGGCCCCAGGCAGATAAGCACCCTGCAGCATTCATCTGAAAGGATCTGAAGAAAGCAACCTAGAGTCTTCCTAAAGTTCCAGCCTTGCTGATTCCAACCTAATACCAGGTAAGCTATCAGAACCCTACAGCCTCCAACTGTCAACCAGGAGAAGATCTTGAAGCCCAATAGAGCAGGCAAACACCAACACCTGGACCTCCAAGTGCCTCAGTGAGGGCAGGGGGAAGAGGTGGAAACCAGCTCAGAAAACCGCCAGTGCCTCGGCACTCTACTCTGCATTAGCAGAAACGAGGGAGGCAGCACTGCAAAGGGCCCCAGGCAGATAAACAACCTGCAGCAGCCATCTAAAAGGAGCTGAAGAAAATTAAAGGAAAGGAAAAGCAGGCAACCTAGAATTGCCTGAAAGTTCCAGCCTTGCTGATTCCAGCCCAACACAAGGTAAGCTGCCAGAACCCTACAGCCTCCAATTGCCAACATAAGAGGCCCCAGCACACAAAGCCAGTGACCAAGACCTAGGCTCCCAACACAAGAAGCTTGGGTCAGTGCCCTCTGTTCCCCAGCAGGAGAGCTCAACATCTTTAAAGGCCAGGGAATAAAGAAACCATGAGTAAAAAGAAATGTGCCATAGATTCATATTATAAGAAGAGTGAAGATCAAGACAGAAATTCTGAAGAGGACAACATTGTCAACAAACCCACATCTGCAACATCAAAAGGGAATATGAACTGGTCTGAAGCCCAAAAAGCCTTCTTAGAAGAGCTCAAGAAGGATTTAAAAGTCAAATGAGAGAGGTAGAAGAGTCCTTAAAAAATACAATTGGCCAATTGGAAAAAAAGTACACTGAAGAAAAGAAGTCCCTAAAAAACACAATTGGCAAACTGGAAAAAAATTACACTGAAGAAAACAAATCCCTTGAAAATACAATTAGCCAATATGAGAACGAAGTACAAAAGCTAACAGAAGAAAACAATCTGTTAAAAACTAGAATTGGACAAATGGAAAATAATCTCTATGAGAGAACAAGAATCAGTCAAACAGAAACAAAAAAAATGAAAAAATAGATGAAAACATAAAATACCTCATCAGTAAAATAACCGACCTGGAAAATCGATCCAAGAGAGACAATTCAAAAATTATTAGGCTACCTGAAAATCATGATGGAAAAAAGAGCCTGGACAGTATCTTTCAGGAAATCATAAAGGAA